TTGTTTGTTTTGCCTTAATTAAAATTCCCAAAGAGATCTGGAATGGTTTCCTGCATTCCCTAATTCCACTGAGTCTTGAATCCTATGGGATTATGAAAAGTATACAGGCAGTCTCTGGGTGAGTTCTACATACCTAGATCAAGGAGCGACTGTCCATCTATCAGAACACTTTCAAGTCCACATTTGCAGCACAGTTTGGAGAGTTGATGGTTTCTGCTTTCAGAGGATATCCACTCAGTGACTAGCTTCAGATTAAGTAAGTCCTAATTCAAATGGAAGACAATGCCCTCTTTCCTGTCTGCCGTTCTATGTTACAACACTTGATCATAAGTGGTTTAATTGATCTAAGGCTGGAGGGAAGAATCACATCCAATTGTCTTGATATGTTTGTTATCAAAGTTTGTAGTGCAACAGCGGGACAGAAGATACTCTTTCAATCAGTCAATGATTCCTTGAAAAGTATTTTGTATCTTTTGAGACAGATAATGTTGATGAAGGAAAATTAGCTCAGAATTAAGAATGATAGGTTATTTGTAATGTGTGTATAAACAAACAGAAGTCTAAGCTTTATCAACCCCGTCAGTCAACCACAAGTTAAGTTTACTATAGATGAAGAATACTTCTGACATGGTTTCAGACTCCTTCTCACAGGTTTTGATGGGCTTTTCTTTATAATTTCTTGTTTTCTTGGTGTTTTAGACATTAAGGCAACAAGGAGTTTGCCATACTTTTTTGAAACTAAAATGGAAACACACACACACACACACACACACACACGCACACATAAGGAGCCTTGGTGAGGTGGATGGAATTCTGATTCTCGAGACAGTGAAAACTGATATCAAATGATAATTTTACTTTATTGGGTTGCTCTGTTTTTGTGTTAGCTTTGATATTGCATGAATATATTTGAAGACATGGCACAGTTATGATAAGTGCAGAAAAGTGAAATGTGATATAAATCAGAAGCCAAGGGCTTCAAGAATTACTGCACTTATAAAGAGGAGGAGAAAATTCAGTTGCTCCCTTGTCATTAACAATTTCATGAACAATAGACTGTGGGGCACATTACAGGTTTGCTAATGATTATTTATGACATCTCTCAACAGTTTGTAGATACAGTTTAATCCCAAACCTGCAGGGGGCCTTGAGTGGGATAAGTACTGAATATTAGGGAGAAAAGAGAAATGGTGTGAATTCTAATAACATACGTGAATGATTGACACAAGAAATGGGTCCCAAATTAGTGACTGTGAGTTTCATGTCATTTCTCATTATTTCATTAACAGTAGCAATTTGACTCATTTTCTATTATCAAACCATTATGAGTTGTGTTTTAGTATATTAATATGCATTCATGTAAGTGTAGTGTTCTCTGTATATCTCAGAGGAAATTTTTAATGTGGGCACAAGAGATGAAGACACATGCAGGTAAGCTAGGCATGGGGTCAGAGATTGAAAACTCTGGATAGACTGTGTCCCAGAACCTTGTACCCAAGTTGTTTCAAATGAAGAGGATGAACGTATCCTCAAGGCAAACCTGCTTTTTCTCCTATGGTTCTTGGGCATTGGTCCATCTTGCAGAATCCCTTACCAGTCCAATCAACATATTTGTAAACTACTGGGCAGTTATAATCTTCTTGTGTGAGATGCCTTCTTTTCTTGCTGGGCTGTTCCTTTATCCTGCAGAGAAACCACTCGCCTACTGAGAAGCCCAGTAACTCTTTAATGAACACATGTAGTCTTTATTTCTGCCGTAGTGGCCTTTGTTGTAGTAGAATAAATCATCCTGGTACTGTGCATGGTAGTAAACACTTATAATCTCAGTATTTCAAGGCTGAGGGAGGAAGATTACAAGTTCACGCTGAGCTGGGCTACCTTGTACAAGAGATTTTCTCAGAAAAAAAAAAAAAACTGTTTCTCCTCCTGTCTTCTGGATGCCTCACTGCTAATAGAAATTGTTTACTAATTCATGCTATTTGCTCCACAACTCTTTTGGGCAATTGTATCTCTTCTAGAGGACATGTTACTTTTCATAAATATTTTGAAACTAATGTCTTGACCTTTGTTATGTTTAAAAGTTCTCTGTCCTTACTATTTTTCTAAAATCTGTTTTTTCTTAGTGAAGGAACAATGAAGCATACATTCATTGCATATTTTACATCATGATAGGATTTTAGTTTTGAGAATTTCTATTCCTTTCTTTTCTTCAAATTCTTCAATAACTCATCCCTCTGACCTAACTCACCCCAAACAACAACAGCAAAAACAATCATCGACCAAAAACAGACACTACATTAGCATTCAAAAGAAAATTTCCCAACATTCTTGATCCCTCCTGCTACAGTTCTTTACCTGAGTGAATATCCCTGTCACAGTCACCTGCCATGGTGACTTTCTGCTGTCACACAACCAGCATTACCAACACTTGTCAAAGTAAGAGCATCTGACCAACTCTTAGAAATTTCCTGAACACTGGTGATGGTTTAATTCTTTACTTTCAACTCTTACTCTCAACAGAATGTGAAATTTGCACAATTAATGATAGTTACAATAATACTAATAACAAGGAAATAATGACAATAAACTCTAAAAGACTAGAAAATTGTCTTTGAACTATGAAAATGTGTAGGAAAACAAAGCATAAGGATATGTAGGAAATTAGAGGGAACAGAAGTTTAATGCAGGTTTGCTCAGGACTGGTAAATGAATGCACAAATTAAAACAAGGTGAGCTGAGTGTTAATCTCTGCTTAGTTAAATATTATTTATGTGACCTGAGTGAATTATTTAACCTTCTCATGCTGTAGTTTTATAATATATGAAACGAAAAACTAATTACCCAACTTTGAGGTCATTATGTTAACTAATATTTCATGAAAATAAATGATATAAAACAATAATATAACTCATAGCAAATTGTTAAAAATGTTTGTTTTATCCATGTAAATTATTTAAGTTCTTGAAGGTTTCCTTATATTTAACAGTCATCTATATTGTAGGGAGCTGTCGCTACTACTAATTAGGCTATGTTCTATGGATACAATAAAGATTTAATTCTCATAAGTCTTTAAGTTTTTTTCTTTTGGGGGTTGCTGGACAGATGGCTCTGTGGTTAGAACACTGAAAGTTCTTTCAGAAGATCTGGGTTTAGGTCCCAGCACCCACATAGTATCTAACAACTGTCCATAATTCTAGTTCCAGGGGATCCAGTGCCCTCTTCTGGCTTCTATGCATATTGTGGGGCACAGGTGCACTTACATACATGCAGGCAAAGACTCACATACATAAAATAATAATAAAAAAATCAAAAATATTTCCCACCTCTTAATCTAACAGAATCAGTTACAGTACATTTAGAAGATTTATAGACTGATATTTTTGGTCTTTGAGATTCAGATCTGTGATTGGATTTTTATTTTTATATTTAAAAAGAAATTGAAAGAATAAGTTGGATTTACATGAGTGGTGTGATTGGAGAATCAGAGCGATGCAGTGCCTCAGCTAGTGCAATGTTTGGCTGGTAGAAGAGCGTGGCAGCTGTGGTTGTAACTCATACAAAAGTCTGCTCTTCCAGTGCACCCCACAACCTTGATCAGCATTCCACATTTATCCATGTAGCCCTTTCTACACACAGGAAATACTTTCCTATGTTTAGAAACAATGTTTTCATTAAAATTTTTTTTCAAAGTTTTATTTATTTATTTATTTATTTATTTATTTATTTATTGTTTTTGTTTCACGTGTAGGGTTGATTTGCGCATGTGTATGACAGTGTACCCAGGCGTACAATGCCTGCAGAGACCAGGAGAGGGAGTCGGATCCTCTGGAACTGGATCTACAGATGGTTGTTAGTAAACTTGTGGGTGCTGGGAACTGAACCTGGGTCCTCTGCAACAACAACCCATGCTTGTAACTGCTATGCCAACACTTCAGCATTTTACACGTATATTTCATTTTTTATAATTCTGTAATTACTTTATACTTTATATTGTTTAATGACATAATTATTTTTTCATTTTTATTGAATTCTTGTGAATTTTATTCAATATACTTTTGACATATTTAGACCCTCTCCACTCCCTGCACTATCTCTATATCCCCTGCCCAATTCATTTATTTTGTGACTTTGTTGTCTACGAGCTAACTTTAGCTTCCTTTCTATAGTAGTACAGAAAATTAGAACAAGAACCCAAAAAGAAGATTAAAAGAGGAAAATACAAACACAAACCAAAAAGGCATAAGTAGAACAAAAGCTGGGTAAGTGGGGGTTTGTGTCACAACGTGATGACATGATGTGAGGTAGATAGAAGGACAAGGTGTCCTGAATTTGAAGGCTGCTCCATGAGCCGTGATGGTGCAGTTTTGGTTAGCTGGAAAAAGGTGCAGAATGAAATCATGAACAATAAGGGCAAAGGACGAAACCTCAATCACAGCTGCACTGCGCAAAGCAGGGGTTGCTTATACTATTTCTCCTTTTGCAAATTGAATTGCTAGAGAAAGGAAAAACAAACTCTTTGATAGAAGTTTTCACTTTAAAGCATGGAAACAATGATTAGCAGTGACTCAGTAGTCTCTGACATCCCAAAAGGCCACAATAGTATTCTGATAAAGCTTCTGGAAATCAAGATAGAAGAATTGTGATGAATCATAAAAATGATCAATCAGCAAAGGAACTAGCTGTGCAAAGCCTGCCACAGACTTGAATTTGATCCTATGACAATAAATTATCAGGTACAGTATCTAGACCCAATTTCAACCACATTTACATTGTGTTTTAACTATTATAATTTTTACTTTTGCTCATACCACAGCATTTTCCTTATAATGAAGCTTGCTTGTCTTTCTATCCCTGAAGCATGATTCACTGATAATCCTTTCAATTTTTCTCTATTTGACAATCTTTCTTAAGGCAATACTTAGGCATAGTGCCAAGGGTAAAATGTAACCGTGATTTACAATTTTTATTGCCAGATCCAGCATTACAGAGCAGAGAAAGGGATGACATCATCACCCTCTTTAAACCACACCAATCTCAGAGACATCTGGTACACCATGACTGGGATCCCAGGACTCGAAGATGTACACGCATGGCTCTCCATCCCCATCTGTTCCATGTACATAGTGGCTGTTGTAGGCAATGCATTCTTAATATGTCTCATCTTCACTGAGTGCACTCTTCATGAACCCATGTACCTTTTCCTTTCCATGCTGGCTCTGGCTGATATATTTCTCTCCACAGTGACCATCCCAAAGGTGTTAGCAATCTTCTGGTTCCAAGCCGGAGGCATTTCTTTTGCTAGCTGTGTGTCACAGATGTTTTGTCTCCACTTCATCTTTGTGGTTGAATCTGGGATACTGCTGGCCATGGCTTTTGACCGTTATGTGGCCATCTGCTGTCCTTTAAGATACACCACCATTCTAACCCCGTCAGTCATTGGCAAAATGGGCATTGCCTCTCTGACTAGGAGCTTCTTCATCTGCTCCCCCTTGGTCTTTCTTGTCTATCGACTCACGTATTGTGGGAGGAACATCATCCACCACTCATACTGTGAACACATGGGCATTGCCAGGCTGGCCTGTGGCAGCATCAAAGTCAATATCTATTATGGTATGGTCATGGCTCTGTTCTCAGTATTCCTAGATGTGGTGCTTATTATCATCTCTTACTTACTGATACTTTGCAGTGTGTTTAGAGTTCCTTCCCAAGATGCTCGACTCAAGGCTCTGGGTACCTGTGGCTCCCATGTCTGTGTCATCCTCTTGTTCTACACACCAGCTTTCTTTTCATCCCTTGCTCACCGTTTTGGGAGTCACAAAATACCACTCCATGTGCACATTCTCCTCGCTAGCCTCTATGTGGTGCTGCCACCTGCCCTCAATCCCATCATTTATGGAATTAAGACCAAACAAATTCAGGAGAGGGCTATCCAGGTCTTTTCTTCCAACAAAGCATTTTTTTTATATAACCAACCACGTTAATTCTTAATTGTCAGAAACTATATAAGTTAGGAGCACCTGAAGGGCATAGTGGAAATCTCATACTGTAGCAGGATTAGGAAT